ACCTATGTTCTCGGGGCCCTCGAATGATTGAATGATAGGACAGTACTTACGCGCAAAGTTTAGTGTTCCAGTCATTGTCACATGTTTTCCATGGCACATCTTTTCTGAAGGACTCAAACATGTACAGAAGACACCAGGCGATAATCATATTGTAATAAATGGACACCAGTAGAGAAACTATGATCATACCAAATCCAATTCCTGAGATGACACAAAGAATAAAGAATTACCCTCCACTCATGCAGCAAATAGACTGATTCGGCTGACGTGTTTACACACCCATGTTGCCACCAAATTTTGATTACTTGATGATTCATTCGGGAGATTGCAATTTTGCAACTTGTTACACACAACTGATTGCATGGGAGTATCAGTATACAAAGAGAACAATTATAACCTCCCAAACGAATTGGAATTGTGAATTGGGTGTTAGCCGAATCTGTCTATTGCCATAACGTGACAGAAATGGAAATTCTAAACAGAATGTTGTTTGAAAACAAATTTAAAAAAGTCTTTGTTTCAACGAAAACCTGGCTACGAATCCTCCCACCGTCAGTTTGGAATCTTTGAGTCACATGGTTACCCCTCTCATTACATACATGTAACAAAGGAGCTGTACATAATTACTTTGTGGAGAACTTCAGCCGCTGGTGAATATCTTCTCAAAACGACCTTTGCATCTTTGAAAAATGATTAGCATGTTGCCAGCTACAACTTTTGCAAAGTTCTGTCATAAGATGATCATAACTAATTCACCAATAACTGAACGTTCGTTTGTTAACGTCTCTAGGATTGTATAGAGAACACAGCCTGATTGGGGCAAGACCTAAATCAAATAAGAGCAGATTTTTTTAAACTTTATCAAAGTACAGTGCAATGTACAATGCATTTAAGGAAACTGGCAAGGTGATCAAAAATGTTTGCGGCGTTTGGGGCTGGAAGAATAGGTCTTAGAAGTAGGTACACATTAGTGCCGCAGCTTACCTCTTGCCAAGGGACAGATGGCCGTCCAGGCTCCCACGGTTCCAAGACTAAGATATTGACCAATGGCAAGTTCCATGTAGAACAGAGGGATCCCGTTGATTGCAAGCATCACAAAATAGGGTATCAAGAACGTTGCTGTAAAAGTAAACCGATCTGATTAGTAACCTCAAACTCGTAACCAAACAAAATATAATTAGCAAATTGCTATTAACGACGGATTGATTCAACATTTCCACAGTCCTTTCGAAAAACTATTTGTTTAGACATTTGTTACGCTAAATACGTTACGTATTATGCTTTATCACCTCAAACTGTGTCGTAAGGCCCCGTCCCCGTTCTCCCCGTCCGGAGAAAAACGGCGTTTTCACTCTGAAAGCGTATGACATTTTTCCGTCCACACTACGGCACAGAAATCTGAAAACGCAGCAATCACCGGTCATTTTGGATTTATATTTGAGGAAAACTCGGGAAGAGAAATCACATGATTATCGTGGCGTCATCATTTTCGAAAAGCTCCGTTTTCAAAATGCTTTCCGTCCCCGATGAAACGGAAGGCCATCATTTTCAAACTCCCTCGGTTTGAATAGCGTTTTCGAAAAGTTTTCGTGACCGATTAGTGTGGACGGTAGGGAGGCCTAACCGTAGGAATAAAGGTGCGTTTTCAAATTTCTCCGGGGTATTGTGGACGGGGTCTAAGACAGTTTCAATTATTATTTTGTCGCTTGAAAATGATGTCCTGGCGACATCGAAACATTGTGTTAAACTTTCTCGCTAATTTCTTATCTTTTAATGTTTTGCTAAATTTAATTCATTCATATATCCAATGTGCGCGCAGCTACACATTGACGTTTGACATTTGAAACCCAAGAGTCACATTCCGAAAGAGGAAATAAAATTTCATGGTTTGCAAGCCCCGCCGAAAAAGCCTCCGAAGGTAGAGACCTGAGACGCCGAAAAGATTTTTAATTAAAACAAAAAAAGGAAAAAAACAATGGAAACAACGAATACAGGCACGACATACATTAGAAACTGTTATTCTGCGATATAGTTTCTTGAGTAATGCAACAGAAGTTACACAAAATCCGATTCCTTCCGGAAAGTTTATCATCTTGATATAGTCCATAGTATACGAATTTGTATTAATTTACTTGATTTGTTTAACGTAGCAATAAAACGCTACTGAAATTTAGTTTATGCTTACAACTCTTCACAATCGCATTTTTGGTTTGTTATGTTGTTGTAAGGTAATTCATTATCGTATATCCGTGTCGTTATCACGATACGTGCCAAAATCGCTCTCAATCATTTGCGTCAAGTTTCAAATGCTTCTCATAACTTCGCTTTCGTCAGTCACAACAGTTTGATTTGTCGGACAATTAGCGAGCGGCGACCTCAGATGGTTACTCCCTGGAGTTACTGTCAGACGTTACGTCCATTCTTTCGAGGCTTCGGTCTCTGAAATAGAGCTTGTTCAAAACAACTACATGTACATGTAATTAAAATCGTATTCATTAGGGTCGTTTTCAAAACAACTAATCAAAATCGTACTCATTGGGATCTTTTTTACCCAACTGAGAAGGACCAGCCGGAAGAATTCCTGAAAACAAAACAGAAAAAAAGAAAAACTGTTTCCTCTGCAACGATCAATTCAACTATGTTTTTCTCAAGGCCCGCCAGTCAGGCCTGATACTGGCTGCCCTATGCCACCAAAATCATTTGTCGAAGCAAAATCAATTATTGGTCTCTTGGTTCTATTGGGGAGGAGGCAGGAGGGGTGTAAAGGAGCCGAGTGATAAAAACAATGGTGCCTAAACAGTCGGTCTTTGTCCAGCCTAGTCCTCCAGCCGAGCTTGCTGGTGCCGCACCGACTACACGCTCAAGGCTTGCCTCTCACTCTACCGACAAGATGTCTGCAAGTCATCCAAATCAATTGGAACCTGCTCTATACCAGGTCTATAGCCAGCATTTCAGTTCAGTTCATACAGCAGTGAGCAAGGATCTAAATTACTACATCCGCTCTCACGGTTTTGACCGTATTATTAAAGTCGTGTTAATCCGAAAATCTTTTGTCCGAAAATCCGAAAATCTTATCTCTTGAGTGGACATTTCAATCTTACATGTAACGAGGTGGATCTGTTATTTGCCGCCGATGAGTGATAAGAACGTGTACCGTATACACCTTTACCCTGAGAAATGTATCTAATAGCGTGACATTTTCTCTTTCTGGCAGGAACATTGAGGGATACGGCAAAATGAGAAATAATTTCCAGAATTAATTCCCGTGAAGTAAACAGAAAAGAGGCATTACGTTGTAACTGCTGGAGTTGCAAAGTTATCATGAATTCAGTCTCGGAGATTGAGGGATGCTATTGTCTTTTTAATCTGTTTTACAAGCCCTGCAATGTTTTGTCCTGGGCGTATTTTTTATCGCCGAAGCGTGTCGTGATTCGCCGCTGTTCGTTATATTTACAGCCACATTCAATCGCTTTTTTTCTTGGATCACACTTCTATTCTGATTTGTGCTGATAACCCTGTAAACATCTTTCTGCTGACCACAACAGTTGCTAAGCGAAGCGATGGAACCAAGATAGGTGATCGCGCTTTTACCTGTCGTGAACGTTTGCTTGAACGATAGAATCACAACAATGGAACCGTTTGTTTAAATTTACACATTTTCAACGACGCCGTACTGAATCTGTCGGGGCCCTGAAGCGTGGCAGGATGCTGTTGTGTTTTTAATGACTGATCGCTAAAAATTGTCAATTACTTGACGATTTTCCTCTTGTTACTCAAACTACTTCCCGAGTGCATTTTGCATTCTGTCACGTACAAAACCATAAGGGTAACAAGTAAGTGCAGCTCAAAAGTATATTACGCATTGAGCCAGAAGGTTTAAGAACAAAGAACTTTCAGATGAAAATACTCGTATTGTGACCGCATTTTGATGGATTTCGCCGCCACATTTAAGAATTATGTAATCTACCGGCGCATTTATTAATAAGTGAAAGGACCGACCCGAGTCACCCACAAGTCCAATTGCTCGGATTGCAGCTAACAACGCAGTTAGCCACTCGTTTTACGTACCTCCGCCGTTTTCATAACACAAGTATGGAAACCTCCAAACATTGCCAAGACCAACTGCGTACCCGATGCACGAAAGCATGAAGTCCAGTTTCTTTCCCCACTTCTCCCGATCATCCTCAATAACGACACCATTCTCTTCTATCATCATCGGCTCAACAAGGGCAGCGCGGCTGTCTTCTGGTCTTCCGTAGTCTCCGTTTGCTTTCTCGCCGTCTATAACGACGCCATTATTGATGTCTTTCTCATTCATTCTAGAAGCGATTGAAGATCGATCCTTTCGTGACCTCGATGGCTGTTTTTCCAGATGTGAAAAGCACCTCGCAAATCTGAGAAGTTAGATTCGTTACTAACCCCCTACTACTTCTTGAATAAGTGCGTATTTTGATCACGAGTTGAATCTCGCATTACGGAAAGTCACACAAATGAGGCAGTACGTATGCAAATTGTGGACATCTACCCGAGTGAACTGTCAATCAAACCTCTTCATTACTCAAAACAACGAATAATAAGTGTTTACTCGGGACAAAACACTTGAGACACTCGAAACGGGCGCGAAAAATTCGCTTCAAAGCTGTGCAAAATAGAGAATTTGACGTTTCAAGTTGGAAGAAATTCGGTCCAGCTGAAACGCATTCTATGCATTGTTTTTACAAGGCTTGGGATATGTACAAACATTGTCGGTTAATCACATGCTAAATGCAAATACCAAAGACCAAGAAGGAATCAATTTATGTATTGAAGCGTCTAATACTCGAAATAAAGCCTTCATGGTCTGGGCATGCGTTCGGCAAGGTGATTCAATAGGCTCCGCAGAAATGAATTTACTATTTTAGAATTGACCTTGGTATGCAAAGCGCCGGCAAGGCGCCAACATCAGCCTGTCATGGACCGTGAGTGCCCAGCAAAGACTGCCCACGCATTGTTTTTTTTGCTTTTGTAAACGTGAAGATCCAGGCTGAAGACATGAGTTTGGCAAAACTCTTTTGGGAACAATATAAGCAGATCTTATGCGACAAGGGTGCTTGCATAACCTTGCACCATTAATACAGTTTAATATGCAGTTAAATCGAAATTTTGACTTCTTCACCGCTTGGCCGGGCTTTCACAGACGTTGCTCTGAACTCCAGTCGATGCCTACGCGAAACCTCAAACGAGAAAACCTGCTCGTGAGCTATAAAATTGCTCAAATCTCTAAAAAACACATGGAACATTTATTGAACCAAAATGAGGAACTATTCTGTGAGGGTGCTTGACAACCAATCCGGAGAGTACTCAGTGCCGAGGTTTCCCTTCCCGTCACTTTCCTCCGGAAGCGAACCCAGCTTTCACAGTAAGGTCGAACGTGCGAGATTGTCCTTGAGAGTCTAAGAACCCGTCAACACCAAAGCGTTTTCTAAATGATTCTTTTCCAATGATGCAGTTTCCTCCTGAAAACGCTTCAAAACCTTCCGGTCCACACTGTACTGTCTTCGCAGTGTTTTCCTTATCCTCAAAGAAAACAAACGTGTTATGCCGGTATGCCCGGTAAATAACGTTAGCGTTACGAAAGCCTCTATTTTCGTTATCCATACTTAGGGGTGGATCACTAGATTATTGATGGGGGTGGGGGTGGGGGTGGGTGAGCGTTGTTGCTTGTTGTTCGGCTTTCCTCCGCAACCATTTCGCTCTAAATATATAGTTTTTGTAATCTGAAGCGTCTGCTCCATGTATTTTTGGTATTTGTACAATCCCCCATCAATATAGTGGTCCACCTCCTCATACGATGATCTTCACCCCTCTCCAGTGTCCGTAATCTGGAGCGGAGTTTCAAATGCACACGTTCTCAAACCGATGAGCGTTTTGGATCGTATAATCTACTTAAAAAGAACTTCTTATATTAAGTCGAACTAGCTATTCGGCCGTTGGTACCTTATGTGCCTTTCAGAACCCTCCTATTTAAACAGCGTCCACACTACGCAGGAAAAATTTTAAAACGCAGCTTTATTTCTACGGTTTGGCTTTCCCGGCGTCCATACTTAGCCGTCACGAAAACGGAGCTTTTCGAAAACGATGTTGTCACGATAGCTACGTGATTTCCCTGACCGAGTTTTCCTCAAACACAAATCCAAAATGACCAGTCATTTGTTGCGGAAAACGTTTGATGCGTTTTCAGAGCGAAACCTCCGTTTTCAAATTCCACCGGCTTTGTGTGGATGGGGCCTTACTAGCAGTTTTTGCTCATCAAGAAATACCCTGTAAATTCACTCTATTACAGTATACTAAAATTAGTGGCCTCGGCCTGTAAATCACCTGTCACATACAGGAATGATAGCCCGGCGTCGGGCTAGGATGGACAATATATTTACAAGCTAGAAATTGTCAAGTTTTGCCAGTACCTTGAAAATGTGTTGACCTATAAGCTCATTCGCCAGTTCTCTGGAATATTATCTACTATAACTACAAGTTTATTTACAGTCAAATATCACAATAATTTTCATACTCCGTAAAAAAGGGTTTAAGCTTGGTGTCTCGTGATCTCATTCATAAATCGGTTCCTCTCATAAATGAGTCCTCTCATTTTCTCTTGCTCCTTTCAACACTTTGTGAAATGAATAAATTAAATTAATTTTCGGCTTCAACAGCAAAGAAAAGTTTTAAGAGAACCTTGGTATTCATTGCTTTGTCGCATTTCTTTTTTCTTTTTAATTAAAATATTTCTTTTTGGCTTCCATCATGTCACGTTGGTTCTCGAAGTATGATGACGACAATCTTCACTGCGACAAAACTCTTTCACGAGAGTTTGAAATGCCGCGCATGTCAGTACCTGATACGATTTCGGTGACAGACCGACTGCTCTGACTGGTGCAACAGCATAGGCATAACGAGACAAGCTGCTTGAAAGCTCGACGAAATTCTGGGATTTTAACAGCGTAGACGATGGGATTGACCGCTGAGTTGCTGTAATGCATGAACTTGAGAAACAAAAGAAGCTCCATGCTGAAAATTCCAGGCTGGCATTTATTGCAGAACACCAAGAGTAACTGAACAATGAAGAAAGGTAGCCAGGCAATCACGAAGAACCCAATCACAAGCGCGATTGTTACAGCAATGCGCATGTCACGCTTCATCGTTCGTGAGGTATCTTGACTTGGCTGTATTCGATGGCTGACCGCATGCCATATCCTCGCGTAGGTAAACAGAATAACCAGCAGGGGGATAACGAAAAACACTACGAAAAGAAACAGCATGTTTGCTTGCCGGTTTTCTACCCTAAGCTTCAGCGCAGATCCACAAGCTGCCGCTGGAATAACCCACACAAATACAAGAGATGCGTAGTAAACTTTGGCGGATGTGTTTCGATGCCGAATTGGGTAGACCACAGCAAAGAAGCGTTCTAGGCTGATCGTGACCAGATGCAGAATTGAACAGGTGCCTGCAAAGAGGTCGAGAACGTAATAAACTTGCTGTAACGTGTAGCCTCCAGATGAGTAAAGTAACATTGAGATCCAAATCGGGATGGAGATGACGCCCACCAAGATATCTGCCACAGCAAGGCTGACCACAAAATAGTTTGTTATCGTGCGCAATCTCGAGTGTCGGCTAAACGATGCCACAACTAGTCCGTTCCCGAATACTGCCAAGAATGCAATGACGACGTAAAATGTGCACGATACGATAACTGCCTCCCTCTTGAAAAATGGGCTATCGATCATGGGAGGAGGACGAGCAGCACTCGGGTTAGAATGATTGGCCATTTCACAAGTTCCTAAAAAGAGAATGAAATAATAAAATTATTGACGGGCGCACCTTTGACGCAAAGAAATACGGTACTACTGTATGTTTCTACATACACTCCGGGAGGGACTACCATATGAAAAGGTTAGAGGTGGTCGTCGTTTCACTTTTGGCTGTATAAATCACGGATTTTGGTCTCATTTATGGTGTTTCGGGACGAAACGTCACTATTTTAAGGGATCTTTTAGGGTTGCACTAGTAGAAATAACTGGAGTTTTGTGAACATGCTGTTAGAATCTATTTGCAGGAGACAGTATTCCATGGAAATTGTCTTTAGCATTATTCAAACCACTGTAGCCCATACTTTTGTCTGTTTTAAAGTGCATCCTTTAGGGGTCAAAGTAAGCTGGTGCGACGCCCAAATCAGTGTCGCTTGGGGGTTTAGTTCAAATGCACAAGCTGTTGTTGTCTTCATGGGTTATTAAGTGAGAGTTTCGTCAGCGAAAGGATCTTACCAGAATATGCATGGGAGCAAGAGACTAAAGATCTCTGAATTAACGAAAGTTGAACATACCTCTGCCACTTCTGTTATTTTAACTTTTATCGAAATGAGATATTTGGTATATACCTTTCAGGTTTTTACCTACGTTTAAGTAAGGCAAAAAGTTCACCAGTTTCACTAGTTTTAAAAGGTTTTGTCACTTCAAAAAGGTCATAAGAATAAAAGAGGCTCAAGTCTACGTGTTCATGAGTAAAAATAACAAAAAAAAAATAGGGAAAAAATAACAGAAGATCCCCATGGCAAGGAAAGGAGATTGAGACAGAAACTAGGCTAAAATGGGCAATTGACCTCATTTGCCCGATATCGCGAAATAACACCAGCCGACGTTGAAGACTCCATCAGTGGGAGAGGCGGAAGCAGTGATGCAGTACTAAAATCTTTTTAGGTTAAAAAGTCGTGGACCGTGGCTAAGTGTAAAAAATGGAACCGCCCAGTTTGTGATTTTCAAACAGAACATCGAAGTTTATTTCCCTAACTAGGAAATATATCTTCCTCTTGTAATTTGATTGAAAACAGTCCACTTCTTGAGTTAAAGAGGTTCAAATATTATAATGTGTGAATAAAGTCCTCAATTGTTACAATGTAAACGAAAATTGATGACGAGAGCTTAACTCTCAGTTGGAGTTAGGTTTCCTCTCAAATGCTTTAAAATGCTGTTTTAGGCAACCTGGGGTGCCTTTAAACGGCTCAGTAGGTTAATTTTATAGGCTGCGCTATAAGATTTGTATCTGTTCTTTCATTGTAGAAGGAACTTGAATTTTCTTGAATTTATTAGCGTTTTTTCAGTTAACCATTTCTTGAAAACCTTAGGTCTTACTGCGTTTTCCACCTTAAACGACACTTTTACCAATCCGAAAACTCTGCAGGCATTAAATTTCTCATATCACGAAAGTTCGAGGTGGCAATTTTCTTAAAGAAAATCGTAAGCGAGTGAAAGCCTCCCCTTCTGCTTGAATTTTTCTTTTTAGAAATTAAAAGTAAAATTATCAGATTTGTCCATGTAGAATTAAAAAAAAAAATTCCGGTTTGTGCATAACTTAAGAAAATAAAAATATACACAGTGGCACTTTAACTTAATCATTTGACCCAGAAATTTTTCTGACGATGAACCGCGAAACAAACATGAAAACATTTAACCTTCTTCCGTGAAAATGTTGTGATCTGGAACTGAAAGATTTCTACTTCCGACATAGTTTTTGAGAAGTGTCATCAAATGGTAAAATATAAGAATCTCTGATAAATTCGTCAAGACATAACATGCTCTGATATATGCATTGAAACGTCCGGCGCGGTTTCTTTGGATGAAAACAAATGCAGAAACCATCTTTTAATAGAAAGTTTGACTTACGAAAATTTTCGACGACTTTCATTGTCCACAGGTCGCTGTCTGAACCTAAGCTTTATCTTCGGTGTCAAAAGACCGAAGGGATTTTAAGCATAAATTCCTCTGTAACTTCGAGATTGGATTGGAGAGCTAGCACAGAAGCTAAGATGTACTAATTGAATTCTTTAAAATCTTCAAGGGAAAAGTGTCCTTACATATTAAGGATGAGAAATAAGCTTTTACGAACCAATTACTTGAAAGGGTACCTCGCTAGTCAGATTAAAGATTTCTAACCTGATGTGTTTACCTTAAATATTTGGAATAAACCGAACAAAGGCGAAAGGAATGAAACTAATCAGAACCTCTATGGTCGAACTATCGGTTATCAACTATAGTGGTCTAGGCTGGGCAGACCGAATGCTGTGATTTGGAATTTGTCTCAAACGAATTCGGTGCACAATTTTAAAAATCACATCAGAACATTTTAGTTTTTTTGTTTACCTTAGACGGCTGAAATGTGTTCTCGGTACTTGGGTGCTTTTTGTTTTCGTCTTCTTGACGATTTACTTACGCCTTAAGCGACCCTTCACTCTTTACTTTGGCGCTAAAACGGACTTTGTACAGTTTGACTGTTAAGGGCAAACCTCTGGGTCGTGTAAACGTGGTTGCCAAGTGTTTCAAACACGTCGTCGTCGCGTTGTTGATTTGCGCCACGCTCTCTCTTTGAGATTCATCGACTGGTCTTCCTTCTGACACAACTAATTGAGTTTTATAAAGAGAAGAGTAACCTCATGAATATTAAGTACATTTTGTTGACGAATGCCTGTGGAGCTTCCATTAAATTATTGACACAATTTGAATTGACATTTGTACCTGATACATAATTAATCTCGTCGTAAGTGATCGAACAGAGAGGATATAAATTTCAAGCAGAGACTTGGAAATTATACAGTCTATTTTACCATTACTACTTGTCCATTCTAGTGGTGTGATGTAACTAGTAAACTCCGCGTGTCGCTTTCGTGAGAAACCATATTAAGGCAACCCTAATTAGATGGTACCAAAGCTGGACATGAAAGCGTCGTTATGAATTGCAAGACTCTCGAAACAAAATTAAAATAAAAATGGATCGCTATAGATCGTTAACAATCTGTCTTAAGTAAGTAGCACTATAAATAGAAGCGTTTTCTTATATAGACTATTGTTAAAGAACTTCAAAGAATCATTTCCTACTGTTTTACTTCACTTCACCCTCGTAAATGAAAACCCGCGTTTTTTTCTAAGATGATGATGCTTTTTTAGTAGAAATACGCAACGTGTGTCAAGTTTGGGGGTCCTATGCTAATTGAGTAATTAAATCAATATTACCGAGTTTGAATGATACCTGCTTGTGCGTGCAAATAAGATATTCTTTCAGTTGTAGCACGCATACTGTTCAGCCAATACACTCGTTCCAAATTAAGACACTTTTCAAGCATCAAGCTGAGTGATGAAAAAAGATTTTCTTGATAACAACAGTTTTTCTTTTAGAAGAAGATAAAAAGATACCTTTATTCACGCAGAGTTGGAGCGATAGCAAATTTAATTTTGCACCTTTAGAAAAAAGGGGTGCAAACTTCTGAATTAGACGTACACGCAGCTGCAAAATGACCAGGTGCTTTGACGCAGCTTCTCGTTTCACATGCCTTTTATATATGAACCACCACAGTCGACTCACGAGTGCACCATGCGTATGAAAGACATGAAAGTCTACATGCTGTCAAAAGTCTTTAGGAAACGAGTCTGAAGTTAATTTTCTTGCTAAAACTTTTGTAATGACATCTCATTCACAAGACTGCCTTGTTAATTAGAGAACTAGCCATAGGATTGCTCTATCTTTGAGGAGCTATAGGTGAGAAAGTAGTATCTACACACGGTTTGTGTGTTTTGCTCGTCTTTTGCAACGAAATGCCGCATATGCTCCCCGCATGCTAATTTTTTGACTGTTTTGAGGCACATGTTATTGCAACGCCACATGGCTTTGTTGAAATATTGAAATAGCAACATTGTCATTCCGGTTGTCATTTAATCTAGATATTTCATAATTAAATTGATCTAAAACAGATACTATACAAACTAAGTACCTGATTTTTTGAGAAAATGATTTATAGCCCAGCTTTTTAAGAGATGAAACCCCTTATAAATTCGAAAAATGGAATTTCTTAGTTCCAAGCGCCCATGCTAAGTCTTCAGAGATGTTGTTAAACTTTCAGAGTGAAAGTGGAAGAAAGTATATATTTTGCAATTACCACTTAGTTATTAGTATCAGCTGATGATGAAATTTAAAGAGAATGCAGACATCAACATAGGGACTTTTTTCGATTGCTTCATAAACATAAAAAATAGAGTCGAAAAACAAAATAAAAGATACACATGCATCTTTGCGTTTCGTCAGAATATATTCTATCACATCGGACTTGCAATTTAAAAAAAAAAAAGTAGAGAACGTTTCCGGGGTAAAACAGTCTTCTTGAAACACCTACTGTTCTTGACCATCTGACTCAAATGGTGGAAAAAGAGAAAAATGAACCACATTCGGACTATTTCGGCTGTTTCGATCACAGCATGTGTGTAAGTAGTAATCGGCGAGATGTAAGCGTCACATAAACGCAATTTGCCTTTCCAACTCAGACTTCGTTAATTCTAAATTTCAAAAGTCTTCAGCGAGAAGCTGTTTTTCCAAGTGCGCTTTCCTTCAAAGTTTATTCCATCGTGTACTTATTCCCGCATGGCAGAAATTTTTATCCAAAATCAGTTTCGCTTTGAATGTGTTTCAATCCAAGACCATCACGTTTATCGCAATATCTCATTTGGAGTACATAATCTTGTGATGTGGATTATTTGAAGTTTTCCAGTCAAAATATTGTGCTGATTGTTCGTTGTGTGTTAACTGAACCGTTCTGGACTGTCATGATCATCAACCACACCACGCAACATTTTGTGATTTAGGTCAAAAATAGAATTTGTTTCATTTAACGCGGATATCTCATGCCATCAGGGAAGGGATACGATATCATTTCCTGGGGAATGATACGATATAACTTCCCTGATTATATCGTTCAATCAAATATATCTTTTTGCATTTTTATTTTCTACTGACGCCGACTCGCTTAAGAAGGTAATTCAGTGCCCTAGCTTCTAGAAACTTCTATGATTACCAACATGTCAAACATTAAATACTGTTAATTGATTATACCTTAAGTACGAATTACAACGAAAAACTGAAATATTTCTGTACGTAGCTATTCGACTGACGCACAGTCAGCGCGCATTTGTGCCCAAAAGTGTATATTTTTGCCTTTAGCTACTTCGAATGATATTTGGGTTAAGGGAAAATGCCAGTTTATGAAGTTCCGTGATTATCTACCTGATCTAATAACGGAACCGATACATTTTGTTCCGTCCATAATGGGACATCGTGGCTCCGTCTTGAAATTTAAAGTTATGAATGTGCTTTTAGTTGATCCTTCAATTACTAGAAATGCATTATCTGAAGAACGCAAGGAAATAAAATTCTGATGTATCCGCTAGATATCTTGATCCACTTTTAGTTCTGGAATTTTATTTAACTGGGCGCTGACGTGTTGTTGTTCGGGAAAGATACACAATATATGCGCCTGTGATTAAATCTCCGAAAACATATATCCGCAATAATGTAAGATGAGAATCTCAGAAGAAGGCTTATGAGGTTAGCCAAATCTAGAAGTAATAGTGAATGAAGAAAAGTATTGAAGAGAAAGAGACTCAGAAAGAAGGCAAGGAACACTGAGAGATTAGTAAAGACCAGTAAGCTAATATTAAAATAACTTTTCCCGGTTGAACTTTGTTGTTGGCTAGATATACCAGCACGGGGTACCTCCGCCCGTTGGGCTAGTTTCCCTCAAAACAGCACTTTTAACAGAGGTAGTACTCTTTCAATATAATGAACAAATTGTACTCTTTATTAAAACGAAATCAAACCCGCTCGAAGACTTGCTCATTCGCACTACAGTATTATTAACTCGCGAATAATAACGGCATCAGGCTCCCAGTAAATAATCTCTATATATTTGCATAGCCTGATAAAAATACAAACTTATTAAGTTTTGAGTCTGACAATGAAAAGCAACCACCAACCAATTAAACGAACGAGGAAAAACAAAAACATGTCTTGTGTCCATGCATCTTTTCGAAGTCAATCGATGCCAAAAACAAGTGATCGATATCGTCTTGCGTCTGTTGTACTCGTTTTGAAAATTTACATCCAACACAGCCTATTGAACTATTGAACTAATTGATGTGAGAACAAAAATCATTTAAAAGAGATTCGCTTTGTGTGTGTCGAAACATTAAGACGAAATCCGATAGAAAATCGAGCAATTTCATGTTTTAGTGGACAAAAATCTGGTACCAGAATAATTTTAAGTATTTTACAGTCATTTTTACATTTTCTTAAAGGTAAATACATAAATAATTGCCTGAAANAATGGGCTATCGATCATGGGAGGAGGACGAGCAGCACTCGGGTTAGAATGATTGGCCATTTCACAAGTTCCTAAAAAGAGAATGAAATAATAAAATTATTGACGGGCGCACCTTTGACGCAAAGAAATACGGTACTACTGTATGTTTCTACATACACTCCGGGAGGGACTACCATATGAAAAGGTTAGAGGTGGTCGTCGTTTCACTTTTGGCTGTATAAATCACGGATTTTGGTCTCATTTATGGTGTTTCGGGACGAAACGTCACTATTTTAAGGGATCTTTTAGGGTTGCACTAGTAGAAATAACTGGAGTTTTGTGAACATGCTGTTAGAATCTATTTGCAGGAGACAGTATTCCATGGAAATTGTCTTTAGCATTATTCAAACCACTGTAGCCCATACTTTTGTCTGTTTTAAAGTGCATCCTTTAGGGGTCAAAGTAAGCTGGTGCGACGCCCAAATCAGTGTCGCTTGGGGGTTTAGTTCAAATGCACAAGCTGTTGTTGTCTTCATGGGTTATTAAGTGAGAGTTTCGTCAGCGAAAGGATCTTACCAGAATATGCATGGGAGCAAGAGACTAAAGATCTCTGAATTAACGAAAGTTGAACATACCTCTGCCACTTCTGTTATTTTAACTTTTATCGAAATGAGATATTTGGTATATACCTTTCAGGTTTTTACCTACGTTTAAGTAAGGCAAAAAGTTCACCAGTTTCACTAGTTTTAAAAGGTTTTGTCACTTCAAAAAGGTCATAAGAATAAAAGAGGCTCAAGTCTACGTGTTCATGAGTAAAAATAACAAAAAAAAAATAGGGAAAAAATAACAGAAGATCCCCATGGCAAGGAAAGGAGATTGAGACAGAAACTAGGCTAAAATGGGCAATTGACCTCATTTGCCCGATATCGCGAAATAACACCAGCCGACGTTGAAGACTCCATCAGTGGGAGAGGCGGAAGCAGTGATGCAGTACTAAAATCTTTTTAGGTTAAAAAGTCGTGGACCGTGGCTAAGTGTAAAAAATGGAACCGCCCAGTTTGTGATTTTCAAACAGAACATCGAAGTTTATTTCCCTAACTAGGAAATATATCTTCCTCTTGTAATTTGATTGAAAACAGTCCACTTCTTGAGTTAAAGAGGTTCAAATATTATAATGTGTGAATAAAGTCCTCAATTGTTACAATGTAAACGAAAATTGATGACGAGAGCTTAACTCTCAGTTGGA